CTAAGGTATGTAATTCCACGGGGGAAAGTAGAAAAGTAGTCAAATTTTATTCTATTGTTCGTTCTGACATGTTCAATTTGTCGTTGGTCAGATTTTATACTTTATAAAATATATATATTTTAAGAAAATAACGAAAGAACTTTTGCAATTTTTATGTAACCTTAGTTAACAAAAACATGCTAAAGTCTTGTTTTTTCTATAATTTAGTTGAAAAACTTAAACTTTTTTTTAATAATATATGCAAAAGAATATTAGGCATTATGTTTTTACGTTTAAAGTTTTAAATAACGATGCTTAGTTAAAGCACTTTTTTTTTCAATTTGTAAAACGCAATATAAAACAACATTTTCTAATGTTCTGGTGAGTTTTTGTTGCTTCCAAAATGAACACTTACATCTTTACACAATTCTTGCTTGGTTAATATTTTTGTTTTTGTAAAAAAAAAATCGCTTTTAAATGCAATTAACGGGGATTAGTGCCGCTTTAACCAACGGACACACTGGACACGTGCCGGAAGGCGATGGAGTTGAAGGGGCCAGAGCATCTAAGTGAATTTTCAAAAGGTATATAATTTGAAAGAAAAATTATTTTGGCCTAACCTTGACTTTCTCATGTCCCATAGATTTTAATCTTTGCAATAACAGCAAACTGTACGTTTTATATATTTAACTAAAAGCAAACTGTACGTTTTATATATTTAACTAACAGCAAACTGTACGTTTTATATATTTAACTAACAGCAAACTGTACGTTTTATATATTTAACTAACAGCAAACTGTACGTTTTATATATTTAACTAACAGCAAACTGTACGTTTTATATATTTAACTAACAGCAAACTGTACGTTTTATATATTTAACTAACAGTAAACTGTACGTTTTATATATTTAACTAACAGCAAACTGTACGTTTTATATATTTAACTAACAGCAAACTGTAAGTTTTATATATTTAACTAACAGCAAACTGTACGTTTTATATATTTAACTAACAGCAAACTGTAAGTTTTATATATTTAACTAACAGCAAACTGTACGTTTTATATATTTAACTAACAGCAAACTGTACGTTTTATATATTTAACTAACAGCAAACTGTACGTTTTATATATTTAACTAACAGCAAACTGTACGTTTTATATATTTAACTAACAGCAAACTGTACGTTTTATATATTTAACTAACAGCAAACTGTACGTTTTATATATTTAACTAACAGCAAACTGTACGTTTTATATATTTAACTAACAGCAAACTGTACGTTTTATATATTCAACTAACAGCAAACTGTACGTTTTATATATTTAACTAACAGCAAACTGTACGTTTTATATATTTAACTAACAGCAAACTGTACGTTTTATATATTTAACTAACAGCAAACTGTACGTTTTATATATTTAACTAACAGCAAACTGTACGTTTTATATATTTACCTAACAGCAAACTGTACGTTTTATATATTTAACGACTTGAAAGAACTTTCAAGTTTGAGTATAATGGTAAAAAAAACAACTTTAAATTGGATATCTAATTTATTGTTCATTCTAAGAGGGTTATAGTTCCGCGAATGAGACAAAATACGAGGATCGATACGCAACGGAAACCTTATTGGATGTATTGAGCTATTAGTAAAACTTGATCCTTTAAAATCCTGTAAAATCAGTAGTTTTGATACACCAAACTATGTTAAAAATCAATTGACTACATTATGATTACAAGAGATATTTTCTTTAAGCAAAACATTTTTGCTTTGTTTTTTGCCATAAATGTGTGCAACAGTTTAAGCAATTCGTAAAGCTGGTATGTAAGCGATGATATGTCGTTTCCTAGTTTTCTATTTTCTTTTAAAATAAACGCAGAGTTTTGTGATGAGAAACTTAAATTATAGGATGCACCAGTTGAGCGGCTTAGGATGCGCGGGGAAGGAGCAGCATGCCGTTCTTTACTTTATGCGGCTTAGGGTTCGCTGGGAAGAAACTCAGAAACAGACTAGTGAGTTTATAATTTCGAGAAGGAGTGCTCAAAGAATGTTAAAAAAAATGATTTGCAAGAAAAGAGTATAAACAATGCGTGCAGATATTTAAAATGCTAAATAATCATCTTTGCAAACTAAGTTTGTCAAAAGTTTTTGAAAGAACGATTTTTGAGAATTCTTTTTTCTGACGAGAAAATATTTGATCTCAATGGCATATACAACTGTCAAAACGATGAAGTTTTAAATTCGAATTTTACTGAAGCTCATAAAAATAGTGGTGGTTAACAAAAACAGAAGTTTCACAAACCGAACCATGACATTTTCCACCAAATGCCATGAGTCGGTTCCACAAAAAGTCATCGTTTGGTTCCACAAAGAGTTATCGTTAGGAAGTTTGGTTAAAAATTTCTAAAACCACAAATGCTTTTTATTTAATTTTTTTTTTAATTAAATTTTACTTCCTTATTTTAAATGGTGTTGTCAATTTTTTGTTTACAAATTAATGATTTACAAAATGTTTTCGGAACAAATTGAGGTGCGTAAAAAAGTTGTGAATTTTTTTTGCAAAAATCAATCGACTTCATATTGCTTGATTGGTAAACTTTGGTAAACTCAAAGCTTCGAAAAAAAACTTGGAAGTGAAAGAAAAAAACTTTTCATAAATCTAAAAAAGTAAAGTCGATTTTACGTTCAATAGCAAGAAATCCAAACCAGTAAAAGCGAGATCTAGCAAGAAAATTCAAGACTTGTCGTTCTTATATCAAAAAAGTGCTTAAAAATGCTGGAATTAAAGCATTTCATAAAAAAATATAACTAAGAGAAGCTTAAATGGTGAAATTATAGGAATTCGACACGCAAAGAAGTTGGTTAAAATAATAGTGGATAAGAATACGTGCATAATTAAAGACGACGAAACATATTGCAAGGCGGATTTTTCACAACTTCCTAATCAGCAATTTTACTATGAGAACAAAGATAAACCTGTAGATGATCAATTTAATATATATTTTACGAGAAAAATTTGCATCCAAGTTGTGTGGCAAGCAATTTATAGCTGTGGTATGCAGTCCTCTTGTTTTGTCACTAAGAAGACCTTGACTGCCAATCTCTACATCAAAGAATGCCTCAATAATGCCTCAAAAAAAAACTTTTCCCTTTTATGAAAAAACACAAATACCAATGTCTCATTTGCCCCAATTTTCCTGCCTCTCACTATTTAAAAAAGTTCTACAGTGGTGCAAAGATAATGATGTGAATATTGTTTCTAAAGACGCGAATCCTTCAAATCGTCCTTAAGAGCGCAAGATTGAAGATTTTTGGGCAATAGTTAAAGGAGTTATTCGAAAGACAGGTGGAGTAACAAATAATATAAAGGAACTTCAAAAAAAGTGGATTAATGCCACCAATAAGGTGAAAAAAGAAAAAATCTGCGAAATGATGGAATCAACCCGCTATAAAGTTTGATCTCTTGCCAAAACAACTATCAAGCCCCTTAAAATTAAGTTGAAACTCTAATTTATGTAAACACATTTATTAATAAAAAAAAATTGAAATAAAAACCATTTATGGTTTTAGAGAAATCTCAATTTAAAGTTGAACGGATTTTTCCGTGTCCACCCGATAGATCCTACGCTTTCATAGTATTTAAAGAAAGTTGGCGTCAACCCTGTGGGCACCGCACCAAAAAAAGACGTCTTTTGAACGTTCAAAAGACGTCCAAAACGTTCAAAAGACGTCCAAAAGACGTCCAAAACGTGTATAAGATGTTTAAAAGACGTCTTTTTTACGTCCGTGTCTACTGGGAAGATTGGCCTAAAAATATTTTAAAGATTTGTCTTTAAAAAATAAAATACGGGTTGTAGACTTAGTTTACTTGCGGAGTGCCCGTAAATTAACCACAGCTGTTAAACATTCTGTCGGGTCCAAAAAACCTAGCTAGTTAAGTAAGAAAAGTAAAGAAACTTAGAATTAAATGAATTATTATATTTGAGTAATTATTTATTTTAGATTAGAATAAAGAAAACCTTCTATTACGATTGGTAAACTATCTACTGGTGGCAAACATTAGGAAGTGAATAGGCATGTTTATTATGTAGATTTCAGGTGTACTGGTTATTCTTATAAATAAACAAAAAATGATTTTTGAAAGCAAGGTATAATGTATTTCCATTTTACTAGAATTTATATACATTCAAAATTAGTGTTGCTCTCAAAATGACTTTATTTATGTTTCAGAAACGTGAGCTGGAATCAAACTTTAAAGCATATGGAGCAAAGCAACTGAAAGTTTAAAAGAAACACAATTTCCGTTTCTTCAAAGTTCACCATCTAATTTGTCACTCACAATAAACGATTTTCTGATTGTATTTGCATTTGTTTCATTAAGATTGAATGAAGACTGTCATAATATCAATTGGCAAAATCACTAACCTAATTATATTATGCCATCTTCCATTATGCACAGTCATCATCAAAACTTTATTGCAGACCAGTTAAGTTTATATTTTTAAAGAAACACAGAAATTGACTGCATTTGAAACTAAGAAAGTAATTTTAATCAAAAACTTAATCTTTGAATCTTGAAATTTGTAATACTACATTCTTGTTGCAAAAAATTTTTAATTCATATTTTGGAAGTTATAAAGTTATAAAGTTACATCCAATTGGCTGCTCTCGGAAGTATCTCAAAAAGCAAAAAACATAAAAATTAAGAAACCTCACAAATTTCTAAAAATATAGATTTGCAAAGTATGCTTTTAATGACATCTGATACTGGTTTCAATTCTTTTAAAGACCTGCCTCCAAATAGAAGCAATAAATTAGAGTAGATGTTTTAAGTTTGATTGCCCCTGATAAAACAAAAATTGAGACACACGTATAAGGTTGTACGTATACGTGCGTAAGAGATTGTAGACATAAGATAAATGAAACGTGAGACTGAATAACAAAATAACAAAAAAGAAGCAACTTTGCTTTACAAAAACACAAAAATTTTGGACTTAATAGTAAAAAAAGTCACAATAACAGCAATAACAATAACGTTGTTTTTTATACTGATGTTTTTATAAACGTTAGTATACAGAAAAGAAAATTAAAATTGAAAAAAAACATTTTTAATAAACCGTGATTAAAATATAAACTTATCACCAAACATTATTTAAAACTAAATTGAATCTTATTTATATAAAAACTTATTTTCGATTTAGCTTACAATATACTTAAATATTAAAGTTTATCACAAGTAAATAAAAACGAATCTTTCCCAAATATCAGGTTTATCGCGGTTGGCAATTAGGTTATCATGTCCTGCATTTTCTGCTGTCACTAATTTTCCATTAGCGTGTGATTTAAATGCAACACCTTCATTATTTTGAACTAACGTAAAAGTCTCCCACGGTCCAATTTGGTCTCTATTAGCAATAAGAGGAGATTGGCCATTTTTTTCTGCACAAACTAACTTGCCGTTCGCAAGTGATTTAAGAGTAAATGTTTGGTGGTCAGTAAAGCGAATTTCAAATGTTTCCCAAGGGCCTATTTGGCCTCTGTTAGCAATTAATGATTGCTTTCCAGCATTTTCAGCACATACGTATAAGCCATTGACCAATGCTTTTATTGCCACTTTATGAACTGATGGCCACACGTAGACCAAGCTGAACATTTCCCAAACGTCAAGAGCGTTGCGGTTAGCTGCAAGTGATTTACTTCCTGCTTCTTCAGCAGCCACAAATTTTGCATTACCATTCGATTTAAATCCAAAAGTTCCATAATTTGGAACTAAGGTGAAAGTCTCCCATACTGCAGCCTGGTCTTTGTTGGCAATAAGCAAGTTATTTCCACCATTACCTGCACTGACAAACTTTCCGTTTGCATGTGATTTCAATGCAAATGTTTGTGCGTTAGTGAAACGAATTTCAAAAGTTTCCCATAAACCAATAGCATCTCTATTGGCAATCAATGGTTGACTTCCTACATTTTCAGCACATACAAACTTTCCGTTGATAAACGATTTGAGAGCTACTGTATAAGCTTTTGTCCATCCTAAAAATTGTTAAAAATTTTTAATATTGAGATAATAGCAAATATTATAATATTAATAATTTAATAAAAAAAAAGTTAAGCAAAATTAACAACAATTTAAATAAAAAATTAGAAAATCATAAATGGTAAAAGAATATGGTAATAAATAAATCAATAAATTTTAATTAAATAAATAATAATCAGTTAATCAGTTACTTACTAATTAAAAAAAAGACTGTAATAGTCTCAAACTGTTGAAAACTTTCAGCACCAAGTAGATAATTCATGAGCTTCGAACCGATGAATTATCTGCAAGATGTGAAAACAGGAAAATTTGTGTATAGTGCATACTAGAAGAAAAAACCTTAAGAAGATGCTTAAGATTGTAAACATTGAGAAAACAAATGAATAAAGTCTAAAAGGTGCATAATCAATGATGATGATAATGATGATGATTATGATGATGATGATGATGATGATGATGATGATGATGATGATGATGATGATTAGTTAATTATTTTAGTGGTTTAAAAAAACTAATATTATTAAATGTTGACTAAAATTTATGATGGTTGCACAGAAAATGTTTCTTTGTTTTATTATTTTTTTAAATTTTATTTACATTTGTAGGTCGGTAATAACTACTCGTTATGCAACTTTATATTAAATGGGATCAAATAATATTACATCCTATATTATAAAATCCGATACACATCCTATATTATAAAATCCGATACACATATTACCCAATCCTTAAAACATTTAAAGTTTATACAAAAAATCGTTGCAGCTAGTCCAAAAATTTATGACATTAATGATCTTTTTAATATTTAACATATTTAATGTTTAAATTATAAAAACAACTTGTTAACAACCGAAAAGGGTCAGTCAGAGAAAATTGGGATTTAATTTTATTGTAAACTAATTGAGAATTGAACCTCAATTTAAAAAAATTAATTCATGATCTTTTTAATATTTTTTAATATTAGAATTAAAAATAATTTTAATTATAAATAAGAAATCAAATAACTTAATACCTAAAAAATCTCTGTTTAAAAACAAAAAAAGAAACTTACGAGGAAAGTGTGCTAATATTGAAATATTATGTAGGATTTTGCTTTGTTTTTACTTTGTAATTATAGAATTTGTAACTTGTAAACATTGTATTTAAGCTTTGATTTTGGTTAAAAATAATTCTAGTCTTGTGACTCTGAAACAGTATTTCATAAATTTACAAACTGGAATTATGAAAAGAAATATTTATGCAAATTGGTCCCAACTAAAGTTAAAAATTAGGGTAGTTTTCAAAAAAGTTTGCACGGTTGTATGATTGATAAAGATAATATAATATCTATATTATATTATTAGTATAATATCTTATAATAATCGTACATTTAGTAAAAACAATTAAAGAGTAAATTTTTAAAAGTCGCTTAGTCGATAAAAAAAACATTTTATTTCAAAATTTTATAAAATTTTACTGATATGAGAAAAAGACAAAAAAAAGTACCAAGTCTACGAAAAGGAGTTCTTGACACAGTTGAAATGAGCTTGAAAAAAGTTTGATAGATTTATTGTAGAAAAAAAAATTGTTTTATGGCTTGAAAACTATACAACTTTCTCATAGAAATGAAATTCAAGATTTCCGTTTCTTTATTCTGCTATCTTTTTTTAATTTCTAACGATATATTTATTTGTAATTAATTTAACCTAATGTAAGATAACTTTTTGTTTTACTTATATTTGCATAAAGATTGTAATAAAGAGGAAAAAAAATGATAATAATAAAACAATAATATTATTACAAGTGGATATTAACATGTTATAAAAATGGTTTCAAGATTGGTTAATTAAATTTAATGAATCAAAATGTATAGTCATGAATATTGGTAAAAAGAATCCTAGATATGAATATAAATTGAACAACTCTGTTTTAACAGACACAACAATAGAAAAAGATCTTAGGATTTTCATTTCAAATAATCTAGAGTGGAAATATCCTATTAGTTTAGCTATAGTTTTAGATGAAAACGTAACATGGAAGGAGCATATACGAATAATCCAAAATAAAATATAGGCCTTTTATACAAAGCAAAACAGTTGTTGAACCAAACTTGTTTGAAACTTATTTACTTTTCTTTTATTCATTGCTATCTAAATTACGCTAACGTTGCTTGGTGCAGCACTAATGTATCTAAAAATAAAGGGCTTCTAATTAAACAAAAACACGCTCTAAGAATTATTGGAAATGTGAATCGCTTTTCGCACACTAAATTACTTTTTAATAAATTCAAAATACTTAACGTATTTCAACCTAACCTATATCATATTTTTATATTTATGTTCAAAGTAGATAATAAAATGGCACCCATTTTATTTAATTCATTTTTCGAAAAAATAAATCATTTATACCCAACAAGATTTTCAAACAACAATTATATTCAACCAAAAAAATATTATTCTGCGACTAGGTTCTCGATAGCAATCAGAGGACCTAAATTATGGAACACCCTATTGGATAATGAGTTTAAAAAAATTTCTTCCCTTAATCAATTTAAAATAAAAATAAAAAGTAAACTTTTGATAATTGACAATGAACTTGACTTCTTCTGAAACTTTTAAATAGGAGTAATCACTTGTTTTTTACTTGATATTTAATTTATTTTTAACATATTAATTTTTGATTTTAATTTGAATCTTTACCTTCTTAAATTATCATGTTTTATCTCATTTTTATTTACTATTAGAATTTGAAATCCTAATAAAAAAAAATAAAAAAAAATATTAAATTTTAATGAAAAATATTTAGATATTGTATTTATATATGTACCTTACGCATATGTTATATTGTGATAACGGATTTTTTTTGGTTTTTTGGTTTTTTGTTTTGTTTGTTACTTATATTCTTGTTTGAAGGGGCTTGGCGATAAGACTGAATTTGTCTTCTTCTTGCCCCAGCCGTGTATATACAGTTTTTAAAGTCTAATTTTGTAAATATTTTCTTTATGGTGAAATATATAATATATATTATATATTATAGACAAAGCAAACAGAAAATTAGGCATGATCAAAAACTCTTTTGAGTATTTAGATGAATTTTCATTAAAATTACTATACAAATTGTTGGTACATCCGCATTTGGAATATGGAGCATCAGTTTGTAGTCCATTTTGGAAGAAGGACTTTGACAATCTTGAACAACACAGGGGTACTAGAATTAAATCTTTAAGGGGGCAATCATATGTAGGAAGGTTATAGATACTTGAATTGCCAACTTTGCATAATAGAAAAAGAAGAGGTGATCTCATTCAAGTGTATAAGATCTCCAAAGGAAAAGATTTTGTTAATTTTCACCACCCTCCATTAAATTTTGAGCTGGAGCGATCAAGTAGAAGTAACAATTGTAAAATACGCAGACAATTTACCAATTCGAGAATTTGTCATCATTTCTTTAAAAACAGAGTTACAAACCATTGAAATTCTCTTCCTCAATGGATAATAGATAAAGATAACTTAAATCTTTTTAAAAGCAGCATTGGTAAATATGTAAAATAGAATAAAATAGAAAAGATGCTGTACACACCTCAAGTGTGTACAGCATCTTTTCTATTCTATTTTATTAAAAAAAATAAAAATAATAATAAGTGTATACTTTTATTTTTTATTTTATATTTGAATATTTTCAACATTTTTAAGTTAGTAATGAAATAAGAAAATTTTCAATGCAAGATTTTTTTAAAAAAACTACTGATTTTTTTTCTAAGTAGGGACAATATTAAAAGGTACATTTCACAATCTAGCCCCCCCCCCCCTCAAAAAAAAAAATTGTCTCTGGATACCTTGTTCAATTGGTAGCTGACAAAACCTAAGAATAATTATTAGAGAACTCAGACGCTAAGTTCGTATAATTATAACAACTGTTGAAATTTAAAATGATTTTGGAAACTTAAGATTTGATATAAAAATTACTTAGTGGACATGCGTCATCCGGGGAACGTCCGTTGGACATCTTACGGATGTCTAGACGTCTATGAGACATCCAACGGGCGTCCGCCGGACAACGCGTGCCCACTGGGTACTAGTAAAAAATTATAAAAAAAAATTAAAGTTAGTTATAGAAGAACTTGTATATATACCCTGCTAGCACACTTACGTTGGGCCAACTCTAGTGGGTTTATTAACGTATACAACGAAGCTGTAACACTGCACATTCTATTAACTACGACTCCATTTAAAACTAAGCAAGATCTTTGGGTTAAACCAAAGTTATTGGAAGCAGTAAAATTAAAACGTACAAGTTGGGCAAAATACGTTGCTGTAGGTAAAGATTTCCATTCAAAATTACGTAATGAACATCAGGCTGCATGCAAACACGTGAAAAAAGTGGTCAATGGGGCTATCCTTCATTACGAACAACAACTAGTAAGCAGTTTCAAGGAATTCCCGAAACTTCTGTACTCAAACGTAAAAAACAAGCTTAAGGTACATAATCACGTTAGTATGCTTGAAACCAGCAATGGTAACATCACCAAAGACTCTAAGTTTACAAGTTCAACGATAAACAATTATTTTCATTCAGTTTTTGTCGAAGAAGCCCCAACACCTTTACCATTATTTGAAGAGAGAACAACATCAACTTGCAAAATTGACGAAAGTTTGTTTACAGCTGCTACAGTACAAAACTACTTATTCTGCCTTGACAAAACTAAATCAATGGGACTTTTGCGGAGTACATCCCATGTTTTAAAAAAACTGCGCAAAAGCTTTTGCAATATCCTTTTTACTCATTTTCATGCAATCTTTTCGAACTGGAAATGTCCCAGATCTTTGGCGTAAATCAAATGTTACTCCTATCTTCAAAAAAGGAAATAAACTCAAGGCCAAAAAAGGAAATAAACTCAAGCCGAAGATAGCAAGGCCATATGAGTTATAAGTAATAATCAATCATCCTCTGATTACGAAACAATTTTTCAACAATTTATGGCTTAATCTATATTATTGGTACACTTAAAAAACATTTGCCAAAAGGTGCCATAAATATATTTTTGCAGTAAAATTGATGACATTTCAGTTTGTTAAAAAAATTTTATTGAAATATTTCACTTCAATGAAATATATATTTTTTTATATTCATACTTATATATTTATTATTATATATTATTATATATTATTATATTTATACTTTATAGATATACTTTTGACAGTTGTTAATATACTTCTTAAATAAATATTTGTAAATATACTTCTTAAATAAATATTTGTAGATATACTTCTTATATAAATATTTGTGAAATTTTTCACTTATTTTATTGAAAAAAATATTTTTGCGGTAACTTTAAAGAAACTCTTATTGTTGCGGTGACTTTAATGAAATAATTTTAATCGACTTTTTTGATCAAATTTTTTTTTTTTTTTTTTGTTATTTAGGTGCTCCGAGAAAACCTAACGGTTTTGCCACAGAGCACCGCATTTATCCGGGAAATTCACGCTTCCGTCCTTACCGTGATGAGAAAATATGTCCAGAGCTCGTTTCGAACCTAGATTTCCTGCTTATATAGCAAGCGCTGTAACCACTGCGCCACGGGCGTACACCACAAATACTCTACTGTGCGGCGCACAGTGACTCAGAAACCTTAAAAAATAGACAAAATTATTTATTTATGAAAAAAACATTATATTTAACAAGTTTTTAGGGTTTTTCTGGGTACAGGAATTCATTTTTGAAATTCAAAATTAAATCTGACCACTCTGATAGACATTTTACTAGCTGGATGAAGCATATAAGAGTTGGTGTATTATTATTATTTTTTTTTGCACTTTTTAAAATCAAGGGTGGTTAGTTTTAGTGAAGAGTTTTAGCGAATCTTAATTCTGCCAAAGATAAAAAAAAAATTTTCTTTGATTTTTTTGAAAAGCTCACTATTTATAAGGTCAATTTTTTAAAGAACAAAATTCATATTTGGTTGAAAAAGTAATAAAAAATGACCACAGAAACTGAGTTTTTGTAAATGATGTTTTTAGAAAAATTAGATAATTTTTTTATTTTTTAGAGAGGGAGTTCGACCGTAGGTGTTTAAAGGTTTTACTTGTTTTTAAAATTAAAAGAGTACAAATTTTCAATATATGTATATATATACATATATTGAAATTTTATTTATATGTATATATGTATATATATATATATATATATATATATATATATATATATATATATATATATATACATATAAATATATATATATATATATATATATTTATATGTATATATATATATGTATATATAGATATATATATATATATATATATATATATATATATATATATATATATATATATATATATATATATATATATAAATATATATATATATGTGTGTGTGTATATATATAAATAAATATATTTATATGTGTATATATATATAAATATATATATATATATATATATATAAACATGTTTATATGTATATATATATGTATATATATATATATATATATAAATATATATATATATATATATTTATATGTATATATATATATATATATATGTATATAATTATATATATGTATATATATATATATATATATATATATATATATATATATATATATATATATATATATACATGTGTATATATATATATATATATATATACATGTGTGTATATATATATATATATATATATATATATATATATATATATATATACATGTGTGTATATATATATGTGTATATAAATAAAATCTTGTTTTTAAATTAAACAAATATTTATTAAACTTTGGCTTCAAAAATAAAGGTTTGCAAAAAAGCAATATGTGAAATACTAAATGTATCATAGATCATTTATAGATCTAACTAGAGATTGTTTGCAATCACTACTCCCTATAATTAAATTTTAATTTTTTTAAAGATTAAAATAGAAGATTATTTTTGTTTTTGACGGAAATCAAACTATTTTTGTTTCGCAACTTTTTGTATATTTAGCTAATTAATTTTTTTTTTTTGCGAGTAGGGATCTGAATTAATTATATAATTTTAAAACTCAAGGGTTATTAAATATATTGAATATTTTTAAAGAAATTAGCAAGTTATATTGTTAACGTTACTTTACGTAATCTATATTTTTAATTAGATATTTGAAACAGTTGTCATTTTGAAGTATAGTCATATAAAGGTGACGCGTGACGCAAGTGCTACCTAATGTTTTGCATTTGTTATTTATAACGCGATAACGTTATAACAAATGCAAAACATTAGGTAATCTCTGCCAAAATTCAAAACTTACCAAAAAATTTGGTAAACAAAAACAAGAACAAATGCAAAACAGTAGGTAATCTTTAGTAATCTTAAAAACATTATCTTTGCTTTTGAACAATGCGTTAAATCTTTGAATACGTTCTTGAACTAATTAATTAGTTGTAGTAAATGACGCCAACTCTAAATCTCAATTAATTGAGATTTAGAGTTGGCGTCATATTAGCTTTACTTAAAAGTTTAAGCTGATATTTATAAAATATAATCTTGAAATTAATTTATGAATTATAATAATAAAAAACAACATTAATTCAATAATTAATTTATTAATTGCTTACAAGTTGATGTTAACTTGCTTTATTTAAGTGTTGCAAGTAGGGGTTGAACAAAAAAAAGAAAAAAAGTTGGGATTCCTTTTACTTTAAACGCAGTTTGTAAGACATTATTTAACAATCTTATTAATGTAAATACAAACAAGTTTTGAAATGTTAAACTTTTTTTTTTAACTTTGAAACTTCTTTTATAATATAAAAATGGCTGGTTATAGTAAAAGATTTAAAAAAAAAGTGAATATTAATTTTTCCGTCTCTTTCTTTTCTTTTCAAGGACTTGATGACCATATCTTTTTGAAAAAATTTCCTAGTTTTTATAATTTTTGATAGAGCTCTTTAATGTTGTTACATATCTAGATTATAACTTTTATTAAACAAGGCTGACAACACGGGTTTCAAAGTGGGAGGGAGGGGAGAGCACAATTGCAAATTTTTTAAAAAAATCTTTTATATCTAGAATTTTCTTAAAAAAAACATAGTAACGTCCTTTAAAAAAAAGAAGGGAGAGCCCTTCTAGCCCCCGGTGTCGTCGGCCCTGTTTAATGTTCTGATGTGTAATGCTCGCATTCAGAAAATTTTTATAAAAACTACAGTTTACTATTGAAATATCGTTAAGAACCTTTTACATAAAATTAAATGCATTACATGCTTACCAGGTGTATCTCGTTTTTCTTTTGTAATCACGCAGGTAACCATCATGAACAATGTTATGCATAGCTTCATTTTAGACACACAAATTCCTTGCAGTTAACCAGATAATAAATAAGTTATATTAAACAAATGGATAATTTATATGTTTTAGTTATTCTCAACAACAATAAGATTGTAATCTTGTAATTATATATAAAAAAATAATATAAAAAACAGTCATTAAATGATATTTTTATCATACATTGACATATATTGCTCACGCAATACATTGACATTTATTGCGTGGGACATAATCATTAAAAAACGCAGTTAATATTTTCGTATAGTTTTAAACCATAATTGATTTTGTTTATCTAATGTTAACTCGCTATTTGGGAATTTATTAAATAAAATTATTAGAATAAAATGGCTAGGATAATAATATGTCACCGAACCAAATCAGAAATGCATTTAACAAAATATGCAGAAAAAAATTTGTAAGAAGTTAAGAAATAAAAAATTAGTAAAAGTCAAAAAATATAAAAATTATAACTTAATATTATAAAAAACAGAAGGTGTTTACAAGCCTAAAAGATTTTTGGATCAAAAGCTCTAATTAGCCAAAATAATCAATAGTTAACCATTGACTTAGCAGCTCAGCACTTTAGCTCATTGTAATTTTGACGTCATAGTATTATCTTTATTATTTTTATTTTATTTATCCATAAATACAACAAAAATAAATAAATGTCGAAAAAAGAGAAAGTTCCTAAGATGGTGTAACCTCTTTTACGGGTAGATTGCTAATTTTTGTGCAAGTTTTTTTTGGTGATTCATTCCATGGACGTATAAGAGATATCTCTTATACGTCCATGTTCATACATACATATTCATACAAGTTCGGCGGTGTTATTTATTTTAATTTCTTGCTTGTATAGTTAAATATCATTTCATTTTTTATTGTTATTTTTGTATTTTAAGAGCGAAAGATTTTTCAAAAAATGGTATCGCAAACTTTTTTAGAGATGGGAAAGATTTATTGTTTTTTTTTATGGTTTTATAATTTTATATATTGTTTTTTTTTATGGTTTTATAATTATTTTAGTATAGTCCTTAAAGATACAATATATATATATATATATATATATATATATATATATATATATATATATATATATATATATATATATGTATATATATATATATATATATATATATATATATATATATATATATATATATATATATATATATATATATATATATATATATATATATATATATATATATATATATATATATATATATATTTATATATATATATATATATATATATATATATATATATATATATATATTTAAACAGTTAATTTGAAACTTATTATAGGATTAGTATTACCCTGAAAAGTTTAAAGTCTACAAACAAAAAATTGTATAAAAGCTTAAACTGTTATGACGTTCTCTTAATTTATTGATTAAAAATCACTAAATAAAGTATTATTTTTAAAGTTTATAGTTGTTGCTAAGTATTTTTTAAATGCACTGAAACTGTTTTTACAACCCTTTGATTTTATTACTGATTAGGTAAGGAAAACTTCAATGTTCCAATCAAGGAAACTTTCGACTATTTTGTTATATCACAACAATAACATACTTGCAGCACTTATATGATAAGATTATATTGTTATTTAGCATTTTAAATCTCATCGAATTAAATACAAAAAAACGGTATAACCTATAGCACCATAGTTTACCCAGCGCAATCAATATAGTGTGAACGCAAAATTAGATCACTGAAAAAAATGACGCAAAAAAACTTTTAACCAGTGATGCAAATGCATTTTTTAAGAAATAACTTTTAAAATGTGTCAAAACTTAAAAAATAATGCGTTTTACTAAAAAAATGCAAAATATAGCCATAACTCATTTTTTTTTTTTAAATAAATGCAAGTGTTCCAATTAAGGCGCTGTTGCAATTTCGGCAACTCTCCCCTATATGTATATATATATATATATATATATATATATATATATATATATATATATATATATATATATATATATATATATATATATATATATATATATATATCGGCTTTTATATATTACTAGGCTTTTATGTATATATATATATATATATATATATATATATATATATATATATATATATATATATATATATATATATATATATATATATATATATTTATATATATATATAAATATATATATATATGTATATATATATATATATATATACATATATATATATATATATATATATATATATATATATATATATATATATATATATATATATATATATATATATATATATATATATATATATATATATATATATATATATATTATATATATATATATATATATATTTATATATATATATATATATATATATATATATATATATATATATATATATATATATATATATATATATATATATATATATATATATATATATATATATATATATATATATATATATATATATATATATATATATATATATATAAAAGCCGAGTCAAAGAAAGTTTGAATTGCAGAAATAAAACAAGCTGTGAAACAAATTAGAAAAGAAATTATACTAAAAGTAGTGAGAGTTGGACCAAGAGACTTCACCGTTTAACAGTAGTTTAGTTCAGAAAATGTGACAAATGGCTCGCAAAAAAATAATTATACAATTAAAAATAGAAAAGTGGATTTTTGCTAACAGAACGATGTTCAACATTTTAAACTAAAAATAAAACTGAATAGAGAGCAACAATTTAGAATTTAAGATAAATTTGCATAGATCCTATCCTTTCACAATGTCTGAAGAAAGTTGACTTCAAGATTGGCCCAAAGAGCTTTTTAAAGATTTTTCTTTAACTAAAAGACGTTAGGCTGTAGACCTAGTTCAATTGCGTGAAATAAACTTTTGTGAATTATGAATTGTCAAATAACTACGCAAAGTATCCGTAAATGAATTGCTGTCAAAATAGTTTGTTGAATTAAAAAACTTTCTATTAGAAAAAAAATTTCTATTAGAAAGGTTAAAAAACACTTGAGTAAAAAAAAACTACTAACAATTTAAAAACTTTAACGCAATTGATGATTTTCAGTTTGAATTTGCATTTGGTTCTAAAACTAGAACTTTGAAACTTGAATTATTTTACATACCTGCTCCGCAAAATTTTAATTAAATTTTAAAGTCACATTTACATATAAAGTTATAAAATCGCATAAACATCCCATTGGCAGCTCTTAGATGAATCTCAAGACGCACGAAACAAAGTTTGAAGAAGATTTCTAGAAAATCGTGCTCGGAAAAAGTAGCGTGTTTCAATAAATATAGATTTACATAATATACCCTTAATAACATCTCTCACTGTTATAAAATCTTTTAAAAACCTGCCTGCATTAAATTAGAGTAGATGCGTTGAGCTTGATTTTCCCTCATAAAACAAAAATGAGATGTACGTTTAAGGTTGTACGAACACGTTCGTATGAGATTATATGTATAAGATAAATGAAACGCATGAGACTTTATAATAAAATATCATAACAGAAATAACTTTAAATTACTGCAATAAAAATTTGGAGTAAATAACATAAACAGTCATAATAACAGTAATAATAACAACATAAGTGTTTTTTTTTAATGATGTTTTTTTAAACGTTACTATACAGAAAAAAAAAATTAAAATTACAAAAAAACATTTTTAATAAATTGTGAACAAAATTATTAACTTATTACCTAACATTAGTTGAAACTATCCAACTTAAACAAAAGAAAGCAAATTGAATCTAGTTTTTAAAAACTTATTTTCGATTTAGCTTACAATCAACATAAGTATTTAAGATTATCACAAGTAAATAAAAACGAATCTTTCCCAAATATCAGGATTATCGCGGTTGGCAATTAGGTTACTATGACCTGCGTTTTCAGCAGTCACTAATTTTCCATTTGCGTGTGATTTGAAAGCAAATCCTTCTTTATTTTGAACCAGCGTAAAGGTCTCCCATGGTCCAATAAGTTCTCTATTAGCAATAAGAGGAGATTTTCCATTATTTTCTGCGCAAACCAATTTGCCGTTTGCAAGAGATTTGAGAGTAAATGTTTGGGGGTTAGTGAAGCGAATTTCAAATGTTTCCCAAGGCCCTATTTGGCCTCTGTTAGCAATTAATGATTGCTTTCCGGCATTTTCAGCACATACAAATAAACCATTAACCAATGCTTTTATTGCCACTTTGTGTACTGATGGCCAGACGTAGACTAAGCTGAACATTTCCCAGACGTCAAGAACAATGCGATTAGCTGCAAGTGGTTTGTTTCCTGCTTCTTCAGCAGTCACTAACTTTGCATTACCATTTGATTTAAATCCAAAGGCTCCATATTTTGGAACTAAGGTGAAAGTCTCCCATACTGCAGCGTGGTCTTTATTTGCAATGAGCAAGTTATTTCCACCATTACCTGCACTGACAAACTTACCATTTGCATGTGATTTTAATGCAAATGTTTGTGCGTTAGTGAAACGAATTTCAAAAGTTTCCCATAAACCAATAGCATCTCTATTGGCAATTAATGGTTGATTTCCGATATTTTCAGCACATACGAATTTTCCATTGGTAAACGATTTGATAGCTACTGTGTAAGCTTTGTTCCAACCTAAAAATTGGTTAAATTTTTTTTAATATTGAGATAATTGTAAATGCAGTTACGTTACTTAGATATTTTTTTTTTAATTTAGGAAAAATAAACAATAGTTTAAAATAAAAATAAGAAACTATAATTAGTATTAGAATATGGCAATTTTTTTAATTTTTTTATTTTGCCATGTAAGTATATAAATCCGTATGTTACTAACAAGACATATAGGTAGCAGGGGCGAGAAAAAGATTAATATGTCTCATCGCCAAGCTCCTTGAGAAATTGCGTAAATATAAAGTTTAATTTAAAATAACCAATTCACTTAATTATATAAAATGAACAAACTTAAATTGATATATTAACAAATAAAACATCTATTATTAAAAAATTACAAAAAGCGTTATTAACTTATTATTATTATTATTATTATTATTATTATTATATTTTCTTTGCCGTATAATTAAATTTACAATGAGAAAAAACCATTCATGTATAAAAATTGGCCGGAGCAAGAAGAAGACATAAACTGTCTTATCGCCAAGCCCCGTTTACATTAACGTCACAAAGTTACAAGTTAAAAACTAAAAGGTTAAAAATTGAAGTACAATACAATATTAGTTCGACAAATATAAGACACAAGTAATAAATCGAGTAAATGTTATTTGTCTGTTCAAAATTAATAGTATATATATATTTTTTATTTTAATAAGAAATAAACAAGATACACAAGACAATAGTAAATGAGTAGTGATGACTTTTTCAGGTTTAATTATTTTAGGTGATTTTAGAAGAAATCTTTAAAATCGAAAGTTTTTTCTAATAGAAAACGTTTAGATTCTCTTTTGAATTGTTCTAAGGAGATGCCTCGAAGAATTTTATTTTTAATTATATTTTTTAAAAAACCTTTCCATATAAATGGTCCCCGGTATTGAATTTGAAATGAATTGAGTTTTAAATAAGATCTTGGAATAACAAAATTATCAGATGAAAATTTAGTGGGATATTTATGAGATATTTCGGTAAAGTAAGACTAAAATATATTAGGAGATAACGCATGTTTTGTTTTAAACGTAAATAGCATAACTTGGTATATATTAAGTTTGTAAATATTAAGCACATTAAGTTTCTTTAAAAGAGATTCACCATCAACAGTTCTGTTAACGCCAAAAATAATCCTACAAGCATGTTTTTGTTTCCTATAATTTTTTTGAGCTTCCCATAATTGGTACTTGCCCATGCAAGATTACAATAGGAAAGATAACTATGAATAAATGAGAAATATATAATTTTTAAAGATTCCGTATTAAGAAAAGGTTTAACTTTATATAGCATTGAAATATTTTTGGAGATTTTATTTTCAATAGATCTAATATGATATTTCCATGATATATTTTCATCTAATATCACTTCTAGAAAGTTAATAGTTGACTCTCTTTTAATAACTTTTTTGTTCATAAAGAGATCAGGTAGTTTTAAAAAAAGGTTATCACCTTTACTAGGTTTGTGGAACAACATAAATTTAGTTTTCCCAACATTTAATGAAAGTTTATTATTCGTAATCCATTCATTTATTTTTAATAACTCTTCATTAAAAATTCTAAACAGATCTTTAATATTTCTGTTAGAGTAAAAAAGATTTGAGTCATCAGCAAACAAAATAACGTTTAGAATTTTGGATGCTAAATACAAATCATTAATGAACAGTATGAATAATAAGGGCCCTAAGATTGATCCCTGGGGAACACCACAAGTTATGATATGTTTTTTTTCTTCATTTTCTGTATATATTATGTATTGTTTCCTGTTTGAAAGGTAACTTTTAAACCATTGTAAGTTATTGTTTAATACTCCATACATTTCTAGTTTTTTTATTAGAATATCATGATTAACAGTGTCAAATGCTTTTGACAAATACTTAAATGTATTCATGTAATGTAACATGGAAACAAATAATTTTTATTTATTAAAAAATCATGAGTTAATTTTTTTTTTGTAAGACATAGGAATGAGTACGGGTCGACAAGGGTTGCGGGCGGCATATTACTTGTTGAAATATTTTTTTTCAAGAATTGCACTTGTGATAAATATATTTTATCGATGCTTTTATGTGCCTTTCGCATAACTATTAAGTATGCCTAAGATACTAAACCATCTAAAATTTGAGTTTGCTAAGTTTTCTTTGGTTAAAAGTTATCGTTAAAAAATAAGAAACAATTATTACAATTGCAATGGTCAGGTTATTTAAAAGTATAATTAAAAAATACTTATTACTGGAAGCAAGCATTAAGAAAGATATTTACTCTCTTGCTAATTTATAAAAAAAATTTTCTGCGAGATTTCATTTCCAGCGGGTACAGAACGTTCCTTAGATGTTTTAAGAACACCATATTGACTTTAAACGTTTATACAGATGTCTTACGGATGTCTGTGTCCACTGTGTTGAAGCAAAACAACTTATTCATAATGCAAAGTTAATGCTCTCAGCAAGCTTGCATTCAAACAAAATTAATATTAATCCAAAAAGACATTGTTTTGTCATTGCTAAATACAGGTAATTTGTAATCTTTAGTCTACTGAAACTTCTATCATCATTCAGCAGGTGTAAAGGGAAGTGTCAAGTTGATTTTTTAGAGTAAAGACAAGTCAGGAAAACACAATTTTATCTATTTTTTTTATTAAGCGTGGATGTCCACCTTTCATTTAAAATTTACTCGTCATTGCTGGAAATATTGGTGAATACATATCTTTGAAAGTTGGGCCAGTGCAAGTAGATTTTAGGGGAAATGCCATGGGGAGGGGTTGCCATAAGAGTTTTTGCCAAAAAAAAGTTTAGCATATAAAGATAAGTAGATATCACAGGGATTGCCGAGCAGAGGGGTTGCCATACGAGTTTTCGCCCATAAAAATTTTAACATTAAAAAAGAAATTTAAATTGTTCTATAATGTTAAATTGATTATAAAAAATCTTTTCTTTAAACAAAACACCTCTGATTTATTTTCTGCCATTAATTACAAAGGGTTCAAAAAAAGTTAATATCTTATAAATATAAGATATTAATTAGTTGCACATTCTTACATCAGTTTAATATCTGTCCGCTTTCTCTATGCTATCTTTCTATCTCAACTTTTTCTGACTTTGACTCTTTTATCCTTCGTTCTTCTTAATTTTACTTCCTCTTGGTCAGCAAAGTGGGTTATAATGCTCTTTAATGAGCTGAACTCTTCTTCACGGAACTTGGTAGTGGGTCTCTGTATAGCAATTAGCCGGAAGAGGATAAACCACAATACCTTTTCTGCAATAAATGCAAGCAAGTTTATAAAACATGTATGTAAATAATGGTTTGTTGTTACCCAGTTTTTTATTAACATTCTATTAAATGCAGAATTTCGTAATGAGAAACTTATATTTTAGGAGACGCAAACTTATATTTTAGGTTGACTGACTTATGAGGCGCAGGGGGGGAAGTGGGATTGGATTAGCAGTTCGTCTTTACTCCCCCTCCTTTTTTGTTTTTTTAATTTATTTTTATTGGTACTATACCATGCAATGCCAGAGTAATTAAGAAATGAATAAAAGAGAAATATATAAGTTTTAAATAACTTGAATTTAAAATCAGGTTTTGTTCGATTAAGAAGACCCATGCTAGATTGAAGATTTTAGATTGAATATTGCACTAATGATCTTGAAATTTGTTGTGAGTGCTATCATTGATATTAAGTCGAGTTGGTGTTGAAGGAAGTATCGGCCTACGTGGTCGTTTTTTTTGTCAATAAGGAGATGAGTCTTGATTTTCAGATGTCTGCAGTTTTTTGTTGTTGTTGTTGTTTAGGTGCCCCACGAAGACGTGAGGGTCTTGTCACATAACACCGCTGAAATGCATTTAACCAGGAAGTTCACGCTTCCTTTCTTACCGTGACGCGAACTATGTCCAAGGCTCGTTCCGAACCTGGATTTCCTTTAGCTCACGCATTGGTAAGAGTTTGAATCAGATAGTTGAATAAATTGACAGAGGCTAAGCATTCAAATAATTCCGTTGGAGTAGAAATAACAGTGGCGAAATCCATTTCTAGCATACACAAGAGAACCGGACACGTTGGAGTGAAGCAAACGTTAAACTTTGTTTGTAAAGTAATTCAAACCGCTACCGAAAATGACGTTCAAGTTGCAATTAAAAATTGCGAAACCTTTCAGAGGGAAAGAGCGGCCATGGATATCACGCATTTTGGCACAGAAAAATTTCTTACTCTAATTGATTGCGGACCTTCAAGATACGTATAGATGTGACATCAATATATAGATGTGACATATATATGTGACATATATATGTATATGTGACATATATATGACATATATATATATATATATATATGACATATATATGTGACATATATATGTGACATATATATGTGACATATATATGTGACATAGATGTGACGATATAGATGTGACATCAATTTTCGAGTTCATACGGAAGTGTTGCCATTACTTAAACCCTCCATCTTGTATTTTAAAGCTGTGGAATTGAGAAGTTTTCTTGTTGGTTCAGGAGTGCGCATTAGGTTTTGAGCTGCTTATTATCTCGAAGAAAATGGACTCGTGGAAAGAAACCATCGTACAATTAAGAGAGTTGCAGAAAGATCGTAAATATCATTACTGGAAGCAGTACATTGGTACAATGTCTCAGCCAATAAAAGCAATGCAAGCCCAATAAGGAAAACATACAGGTATCAAATTTACCTGAAAGGATTGAGAAAAGATAACAAGCCGACATAAATGAAGCGTTTAAAAATGGTGATAACGTATGATTGAAACCACCAAATGCAAAGTGTCGTACCAAGTGTCAGCCAACAAAACTAACTGAAAATATATTTAAATAAGTTGTAGAAGTTAATGGCGTTCCGTTTCACGTAAATCATATCCGATTTCGAAATGACATTTGCACATTATGCGATATTTCTAAAGCTGAAGCAGAAATTAATACACATTGGGGTCGTGATAACGCAAAAAACCATTATAA